GGCACCAGGAAAGGGGTCAGTGGCTGCCGTGCCGAGTTATGTACTGTACATATGGAGAGCCAGTTTGGTGTAGTGGTTAAGTGCGCGGACTCTAATCTGGGAGAACCGGGTTTGATTCCCCACTCCTCCACTTGCACCTGCTGCTGATGTGACCTTGGGTCAGTCACAAGCTCTAGCACAGCTGTCCTTGAAAAAGAGCAGCTTGTGTCAGAGCTCTCTCAGCCCCACCCACCTCACAGGGTGTCTGTTGTGGGGAGGGGAAGGGAAAAGAGTTTGTAAGCCACTCTGAGACTCCAAGTGAAGGGCGGGGTATAAATTCAATCTATTCTTCTCTTCTTCTTCGCGTTGGGGACCCCCGATCTAGTTGCGGGTGGAGAGAGCCTTTCCCTCCCTTCAAAGTCTGACCACAGCTTCTTTGGCTGGAGAACATCAGTCGGTTCTTCCAGTGGAATCTTTTTCCTTTGTCCCCTTGAAGCTGTCCAGTAAGACGAATGCTCTTGGGCCAGGAGCAAGCATTGCTGGCTCTGTCCCATGCTAATCCCGCCTGCCCGTAATCGGAGCCGGAGGGTCAAGTAAAGGGCAACACTTGGTCGGTCTAACCCGGGGTAACTGATCTGTCTTGCAGGGCGTCTGGGTTCCACTTCCAGCAACAGCTCCTGCGGAAGTTCCGAGTACTCCGGGGAAGTGATCCCTCACCATCCGGGTAAGTATCCGGGCTGCCGTGGAAGGAAATGGGAGCTGAGGGGGCCCTTGCCTGCCCCCATCCAGTTGGGCCGCCTCTCGGAAGGTTCTCGGGGTCGGCAAAGGGCTTTGGGGTGTGACACGGACCGTGGATCACTGTTGGTCTGTCAGAACCGATGGTCCACGTGTGTAGCCCGGACTTATTATTATTATTTATTAAACCTATAAATCGCCTATCCTGCGAGCAGGCTCTGGCCGATTTACAGCATTATAGAAATTTAAAATGCAGTTCGTCTATAGTTGGTAACTAAAAATAAAATAAATTGAAACCCGTCATCACATACCTGTCCGTGTCCTCAAATTACGACAGGGTGGTGGATCAGTGACTAGGTCTTTGCCTTTATTTTAAGCGTGAAGAAGACTGTACTTGGGCTTGGTGTGTAACCACTATAAGCCTGTATTTGATTTATCTTTCCTTTTCACATTCATACCTCACCTGCCCCCACAACTTGAGGCCGTCCCTGTCTTGTAAAAACGAGCCTTACAACCGTGTTTGATGAATAGTGGGCCACAATCCTAAATTCTCTCGCCATTGTAAGCTTCCAGTGGGGAGGGGTTCTTTTTGAAGAGAAAGCTTCCGCATTATCTGGGACGCAGTTAGAACCATAGAATGTTCGAGTTGGAAGGGACCTTGCAGGTCATCTAGTCCAACCCCCTGCACTCTGCAGGAGCATAGCCGAAAGATAGTCCTACAACATACCCGAAAGATGGTCGTCCAGCCTCCGCTCGAAAACGTCCAGCGAAGGCGCATCCACCACCTCCCGAGGCAGTCTGTTCCACTGCTCAACCAGTGTCTACCTGAGGGACCGCCTTTCCCCGTACGTTCCCCCGAGAGCACTGAGATCGGAGTCGCAGGACCGCTTAGTCCCCCCTGACCCTAGGGACGCCAAGCTAACAACTACTAGAACTAGGGCGTTCTCTTTAGCCGCATCAACACTGTGGAACCAGCTCCCACATGAGATCCGCGCTCTCCGGGATCTCCGCCAGTTCCGGAGAGCGGTGAAGACGGAGTTATTCCGCCAAGCATTTAACAACCTAGACCAAGCATGACAGCACTTGATGGTTGCCGCCACGTGTATGTTGTGCTGTGCGTAATTTGCGATTTTATTGTATTGTTACAGATTGTTTTAGATGTGTTTTATTGGTTTTACTGTTGTAAGCCGCCCTGAGCCGCTTCGGCGGGAGGGTGGGGGAAAAAATCAAATAAATAAATAAATAAACCGTCCAGCGAAGGCGCATCCACCACCTCCCGAGGCAGACTGTTCCACTGCTCAGCCATTGTCTTCCCGTTGTGGCTTCTGACAAGAGTCTGTCTCTTTTTAGGTCTCCCCAAATCTGACCCAGGGCACTGGTGGGCCAGCTTCTTCTTTGGAAAGGCGACTCATCCGGTCATGACAACCGTGTCGGAATCCCCAGAGAAGTAAGTAGATTTCTGCAGCCCCCAAACTCTGGAACACTCTCCCTGGAGAGGCTGGTCTGTCCCCTTGAGTTGCCGTCTTTCACCAGGGGTTGAAGACTATTTTGTTTCTTTGGGGTTCCCTCAGTGATTTCCCCTTCCTGTGTGTGTGAAGTGCCACCAAGACTCTTCTGAATTATGGTGACGCTATGAATTAACGTTCTCCAAAATGTCCTGTCGTTAGTAGCCATTCTCAGGTCTTGTGAACGGAGGGTCCTGGCTTCTTTCACTGAGTCCACCCTTTCTTCCTTAAGAGAGCCAGTTTGGTGTACTGGTTAGGACCTCTGACTCTAATCTGGGAGAACCGGGTTTGATTCCCCACTCCTCCACTTGCACCTGCTGATGTGACCTTGGGTCAGTCACAAGCTCTGGCACAGCTGTCCTTGAAAAAGAGCAGTTTGTGTCAGAGCTCTCTCAGCCCCACCCACCTCACAGGGTGTCTGTTGTGGGGAGGGGGAGGGAAAGGAGTTTGTAAGCCGCTCTGAGACTCCAAGTGAAGGGCGGGGTATAAATTCAATCTCTTCTCTTCTTCTTCTCTAATCTGGGAGAACCAGGTTTGATTCCCCACTCCTCCACGTGCAGCTGCTGGTATGACCCTCAGTAAGCACAAGTTCTTTCAGAGCTGTTCTCTCTAGGACAGTCCTTGAAAGAGCTCTCTCAGCCCCGCCTACCTCACAGGGTGTCTGTGGTGGGGAGGGGGAGGGAACGGAGGTTGCAAGCTGCTCTGAGACTCCTTTGGGTAGTGAAGGACGGAGTATAAATCCAATCCTCCTCCTTCCTGCCCAGTATATTGTATATTTTAGCCCTGGTCTTATTCGTTTTAAAGATGCCTTGTGGGTTTTCCCCCCGTTGGTTTTAATGGTTTTAAAGTGTGATCTTAGGTTTTAAATTGTTAGCTGCCTTGGTGGCTCTTATGAGGGCAGGAAGGTGGGATGTAAATATGTAAAGAAAACAATAATAATTTTGTAAGGTTAATAAATGAAAAAAGAGAATCTGTACTGTGGGTGCAAGTCTGGATTCACTTAGTCAAGACACCCATTGAGTTGAAAGGGATTTTTTTCAGAGTAAGTGGGAAATTCACCAGCTGTCGCCATGGCGTGAGTTGTGGTGGGTAACTGGACACTGAATGGAATTCCACGTTCAGAATCTCAGTGCCAGGAGGAAATATCAGGGAAAGGCCTCGGCCTTTGTGCCCTGTTATTGGCCCTAGATGGACCACTGGTCTGATCCAGCAGGGTTCTTCTGGTGTTCTTATGAAGGCTTCGGCCTCTATGCCCTGTTGTTGGCCCTCCAGAGGAACTGGTTGGCCACTGTGTGGGACAGGATGCTGGACTAGATGGACCACTGGTCTGATCCAGGAGGGCTCTTCTGTAGTTATAGTGAAGAACTCAGACTCTCTGCCCTGTTGCTGGCCTCCCCAGGGGAACTGGTTGGCCACTGTTTGAGACAGGATGCTGGGCTAGATGGACCACTGGCCTGATCCAGCAGGGCTCTTCTGATGTTCTAAGTGTTCCCAAGTAACCCTACTTCTTTTCCTAACCATCTCTCTCTTCTTTTGCCTCCCCAGCTCAGGAACTTTTCGGGTGGCAAACGGCGTGATCACATGTGGCCTGGCTGAGGAAGTCATGAGGAAGCGCCATGCCAGTGAGCCCAGCAAGCCGAACTCCGGACCCTCGGCGTGAGGCGGCTGCGGCCCCCCTCTGGCAGATGCTTCTGACTTGACGCTAGGAGACAGAGCCCATTTTCCACTCCCCCCTCCCCGTAGAGTAGGCAGGCTGCTTCGGCTGACTAGATGTAGGTTTTTATACAAACGAAAATGGCAACTTGGGTGGGGCGGGGAAGCACCTTCTACATCATCCTTTTCTACTCTTTTTTGGGTCAACGCAGCTACGTCTTTCTTTTCTTCCCACGCAGCCTTTAATAACTGTTTTGTTTACTTTTTATTTGCCTAATGGAAACTTAATAAAGCCTGAGCAGCCTTTTAAATGGCTTGTGTCTGGTTTGGATTCTTCTGAGATCCCACACGTCTCTTAGAACAGGGGTCCCCAACAAGGTGCCCGTGGGCGTCATGGCAACCAATACCTTCCTCTCCCCCCCCCAAAAAGCTGAGTGTTTTTTAGAAAGTAGGCAGGGCCAGTGGGGCTTTTTTCTCCAGCAAGACTTCTGATTGGCCGTGCAGGTTCTGTTTTAAATGTTGCTCTGGCAATAGCTGCCACGACGACACAAGAATCATCACTGTGTGACTGAAGGTGAGTGGCGGCGGCCATTTTGTGGCCAGTTCCATCTTCTGCAGCGGCCATTTTGTTGCAGCTCTTTTGTGACTGTGCCCACCACACTGTGTCACAATTCCAGAGGTGCTCACAGGCTCAAAAAGGTTGGGGACTCTTCTAGAAAGTGCCCAAAGCAGTTTTCCCTCTAAGCTGAGTTAGTGTGAGCTAGCTCACAGTTTTTTAGCCTCTGGCTCACACATTTTCGTCTTCGCTCAGGAAGGAGGGCTCCAGAGCAAACTAATTTGCGCAGCAGCCAAATCGCTCGCTCACAACTTGAATGCTGGTAGCTCACAAGGCGCAGAAGCCCAAAGCCTTCCAGAATCTGGAACCAGCCCCCCTCCCCTCCAATGCTTGCCACAGTCCTTCCCTGCCTACTAGCTAGTGTTTTCCTCCCCAGTTACCTACCTATCCATCCCTCCCCTCAGACTTAGAATCATAGAGTTGGAAGGGACCTCCAGGGTCATCTAGTCCAACCCCCTGCACAATGCAGGAAATTCACAAATACCTCCCCCCCCTCCACACACACACAGTGCCCTCCTGTTCCATGCTCACTTTCTAGTGCTCACACACCCTTCCCCGGACTATGGTGGAGGTGTGGGTGGTGGTGGGGCTCACAACAAGCCATGGGGCAGCAGGGGAGGTGGGTGGGTGCAGGAGAGCAGCAGTGTGGGAGACCCGTCAGAAGATCTGGGTCTGGAGTTGCCAGCTCCGAATTGGGAATTTCCTAGAGATCTGGGGGAGTGGACCCCGGGGAGGGGAGAGGAAGGGGACTTCTATAGGGATGCTCTAGGCTGATACTGCACTGAGCAGGGGGTTGGACTAGATGGCCTGTAGGGCCCCCTTCCAACTCTCTGTGATTCTCTAACTTCAACGGGACACAATGCTGTAGAGTCTGTCTTCCAAAGTGGTCGCTTTCTCCATGTGAGCTAGGGATGCCAGCTTCCAGGTGGCACCTGGGGACCCCCCCGGGATGACAGCTCATCTCCAGAGATCAGTTCCCCCTGGAGAAAATTGATGTTTTGGAGGGTGGACTCTGTGGCATTGTATCCCGTTGAGGTCCCTGCCTTCCCCTGGCTCCAACCCCAAATCTCCAGGCGTTTCCAAACCTGGATCTGGCAACCCTAACACAACACCCCCCATCTCCTTCCAGTGGCCAGGGGGATCTGGCAACCCTAAGGTGAACTGATCTCTGTCACCTGGGGATCGGTTGTAATCCCAGGAGATCTCCAGCCATCCCCTGGAGGTTGCCAATGCTATCAGGGCCTTGGCAGGTGCCGCACCTCAGGGTATGCCGATGCTGGCCCCGTTTCTAGGTCTATTCATGGGGTTGGGTCAGGAGTAGCTTGGCAATTTCCTCCTGTTCCCTCTCCCTGCTGCAGGACACCCCCCTCCCATGACATTCCTCAGGATCCCCCGTGCCCCCAGGCAATTTTGGGAAAATCAGTGCTGTGGGGGCAGGGGGACAGGAAAGTACCATTCGGCCTTTGGAAAACGTAATCCAGATCCATCCTGTGGTTTATGCGAGGCCCCCCAAACATACCCCGCCCTTCACTCGGAGTCTCAGAGCGGCTTACAAACTCCTTTCCCCTCCCCACAACAGACACCCTGTAGGGTAGGTGGAGCTGAGAGAGCTCTTTCCAGAATTGTCCGTGAGAGAACTTGTGAATGACCCAAGGTCACACCAGCAGCTGTGTGTGGAGGTGTTGGGAATCAAACCCGGTTCTCCCAGATTAGCGTCCGCGTTCCTAAACACTACACCAAACTGGCTCTCAAAGCACAGAACAAGTTTGGGGAGGGGAGCTGGTAGAGGCCTGTTAGATCATCCCCGGACTTGGATACTGCCAGATTGTCTGCTCTTGCCGGTTTCCCCATCTCCAGTGCAGGCCCCATTCCCTGTGGCTTTTGTCTAAGGATCTCTAGCATGCCCCTTTGGGTGGCTGAAAGGGATCTCCCTCCGTCCTGCAGAAAATCTGAGAAGACCCATCCGACCTGTCCGTCTCATATTTATCTCTAATGTAGGCTACTCAAAGCCCTGAAACTGCTTTGCATAATAAAAAGTAGAGACACAACCCAGAAAATCTACAGCAACTAAAAAGTAGAGACATCACCCTGTCAACAAAAGTCCGTATGGTCAAAGCAATGGTATTCTCAGTAGTAATGTATGGCTGCGAGAGTTGGACCGTAAAGAAGGCCGAGCACCAAAGAATAAATGCTTTTGAATTATGGTGCTGGAGAAGACTTGAGAGTCCCTTGGACTGCAAGGACATCGAATCAGTCAATCCTAAAAGAAATCAACCCTGACTGTTCCCTGGAAGGCCGGGTACTGAAGCCAAAGCTCAAATACGTTGGCCACCAAATGAGAAGGGAGCCCTCAATGGAGAAGACCCTGATGCTGGGAAAGACTGAAGGTCAAAGAAGACGGGGACGGCAAAGGATGAGATGGCCAGACAGGGTTATCGATGCAATGGACATGAAATTAAGCAAACTCCGGAGCACGATGGAAGACAGGAGGGCCTGGCGTGATGTGGTCCATGGGGTCGCGAAGAGTCGGACTCGACTGTGCGACTGAACAACGACAACAACTGCTCAAAGGAAGATCTTACTGAAGATGTAGGTATTCAGTGCTTTTTTATTTTGCCGAGCCTTGAAAGAGCGCAATGTTCCCTCTAAGCTGTGGAGTCTTGTGAGCAAAAATTCTACTTTGTGAGCCACTGGCATTAAAGTTGTGAGCGAGCGATTTGGCTGCTGCATAAATTAGTTTGCTCTGGGGCCATCCTCCCTGAGCGAAGACAAAAATGGGTGAGCCGGAGGCTAAAAAACTGTGAGCTAGCTCACACTAACTCAGCTTAGAGGGAACACTGGCTCAAGGTGGTGTGTATCTGATTCTACCTTATTTCCCTTTTGTATTCACTCCTGCCATGTGAGGTAGGCTGGGAGGGTCTGAGCTCTTTGCGTGGCTGACTTTGCCCCCTTTCCAGCCCCTCTGAGGGACTCTCAGACTGCAAAATAGAATGCATATAGATACCTTCAGCTGCTGGGTGGCATGACTTTTGCCCAGGTACGTTGATCTGCAGTTGGCGTGTCCTGGGAATCTGAGCAGAACTGGTTTTGTTGGTCGCGTTCCAAAGCACGCTGGAATCCAGCCTCTCAAACTCATCAGTAGGCGAGCTAAATCGTCGGCCTCGAAGGCGTTCTCCGTCTATTGCAA